TAGCTGTCAGCCATTCTACTTTTTTGATCTTACACATTCTAGTATAATGAGTTGTGCAGTTCTGCACATTTTTAAAAAGTCAATAACCATTAAGGGTTTTTACTTTAATACTGAATACATATAATTTTTACATTAAAAAGGGCATTATTTATGGTAAAAAGAAATGAGTTGAAAATAATTATTTTTAAAAAATACAAACTTGTGTTGCTGAAAAAAAAAATGGAAACCTATGCATAGCTTTTTCCTAAGCTATGCATTTTGCTACTGGCCCCTTCCATGAACTTTCGGAAGCTCCCTCATATACTGAGCTCTCACTAGCAAATCTATATGCCCAGCAGCTGAAATCCTGAGCTGTTCCTCTAGGAGTGCAAATCTCTAGTGGGGCCAACATAACTGGAAGCACCCCTTCAACACCATGTCCTCAGGCTTCCAGGGAAATAGGAAACTATAACCATGTGTTTTCCTGTTCTGCATGAGGCTTCTCACCTTTTCTGTTCAAATAGTACTTCTTTCAGAGAAGCCATCCCTGGCTCCCATCTTAAATCCTCACACACTTCCAGTTAATGTTTATACCCATTTTCTTTCTTTTCATCACAGCACTTTTCACTACACGAAATAGTCTTTCTTGCCTGCCTTCACCCCAGAAGGTGAGATCTTTGCCAACAGGATCTGGTCCATCCCTGGTTCTGTCCCAGCACCGTGAAGAGTGACTGACAGGGAACCAGCAGTTAGCGTAATGGCTATGTCACTGGACTCCCACGTAGTCGACCGCGGTTCACGTCCTGGACCCAGTGGCTTACAACTCACGCCGGGCGTGTGTGCGTGCGTGCCCAAGATCCCGAGAGGAGAATGGAGGAGAAGGGATTGCGGCATGACCATCCCCCCTGAGGGGTGATTTCTTGCTTTCTGTCTCTATGTCTCTCTCTCTCTGGTGAGCGTATGCGCCCTATAGCAAAAACCTCCCCCCCCCCGCCAAAAAAAAGAGTGACTGACAGAACAGAAAAAATATATAAATGCCTAACTCTCTTCCTCTGTTTCCATCCTTCAGACCCATGAAGTGTTGTGAAAATTCTAGTCCACAGTAACTTTCCCCCATTCAAACTCCTATAGCAATTTCTCATCTACATGTTGTTGAGTCCTCCCTATAGCATTTACCTCTGCTGTGTTCTGCTTGTAACACTTATTTTTTATTTGGGGTCTGAGGTATCATTTATACTTCATATGATTATTTACCACATTTTCTGAATCAAACTAGAAACAGCGAGGTTACAGAATGCTTTTTGTGTATCTCTAGAATTCTTTAGTTCGATCCTTTACACCTGATGTCCTAATAAACACTCCTTTATTTCTTGACCCCTAATATGTACCTGGCATGATTCTAGATGCTAGGGATGGTGTGAGGATACTGTGATGAGTAGAGCACCTGTCCTAAATAATTAATTACGTGATATTGTTCAATTATCCCAGTGTCTATTAAGAAGAGGTGGCAGGGATCAGCAGTTAGTGTAATGGTTATGTCGCTAGACTCCCACGTAGTCGACCATGGTTCAAGTCCTGGATTTGGTGGCTTAAACTCACGCTGGGCGTGTGTGCGTGAGAGCCCAAGATCCCGAAAGGAGAATGGAGGAGAAGGGATTGTGGTGTGGCATCCCCCCTGGGGGGTGATTTCTCGCTTTCTGTCTCTCTGTCTCTCTCTGTCTGGCGAGCACACACGCCCTATTGCAAAAATCTCTCCAAAAAAAAAGAAAGAAAAAAAAAGAAGAAGAAGAGGTGGCAGGACCAGCAAATGGCGTAGTGGTTATGTCGCTGGAATCCCATATGACAGACTGTGGTTTGAGTCCCAGACCCAGTGGTTTCAAAATCATGTCAGGTACATGTGCGTGAGTACCCAAGATTTTGGGAGGAGAACAGAGAAGGATTTCAGTGTGCCCCTGGAGAGTGATTTCTTACTTTCCCTCTCACCGTCCCTGTATTTCCCTCTCTCTCTCTCTCTCTCTCTCTCTTTCCTTCTCATGAGTGTATTCATTCCAAGGCAAAAAAAAAAAAAAAAAGATATGGCACTTGTTTCTCTCGGAAAACATTAGAAGGTCTGGTCCAGAATTGGATAACCTCAGGTACGCTACTTAAATTCTAGGAGTCTCTCCTGATTGGTTCCACAGAAATTATAATAATTATCTTACAGCATTATGACAGACATAATCTATGTGGAAACACCTCGTAAACTGTCAAATGCTGTGTAAATGTTCGTTGCTGTTATTGCCATTACAATAACATAATTTGTACTGAAATTGGAGCCATTAAGAAAAAAATATTCTGGGGCCAGCAGGTAGCATGGTGGTTAAGGCACTGGGCTCTCTCATGGTCCTGGACCTGGTGGCTTGAAAAATCACTCTAGCTGCTTATGCGCATGTGCCCAAAATCCCAGGAGGAGAATGGAGAGGGGATCACAGCATGGCTGTCTGCCTTGAGTGGTGATTTCTCATTTTCTGTCTCTCTGCCTCTCTCTGTCTCCCTGGCGAACTCACATGCCAGAGAGCAAAAAATCTCTCTCTCTAAAAAAGAAAAAAAAATTAACATTAGGAAAAACTATGTATGGATGTCAAAAAAAATTTACTTTAATTTTTCTACAAATTTCTTGAAGTCCCCGCATTCCATCCATTTATTCTCAAGATAATAAGAAACCTGATTTCACCTGTTACAGTATACTAGGTGACAGCCTTTAAGTAGGACTGTTGCCCAGTTCCTCACAAGCCCAGCATGCTGGGGGGTATGACTACTGCCTCTTCTGAGGAAATGTCAGGCCCGTAAATGTGATTTTACCTACTGCAAGATATCAGAAAAGTCCTCAGAGCCATGAGCAGAGAAAGCTCTAGGCCATCCAAAGTAGCTTTCCAGGTTTCTATGATAAAGCTTTTCTTAGCATGCCCAAACATCTCTCACCAGAGTCTGTCTGTGGTGGCTTGCTGGATTTCAGCAGTACGTGGGCCTGGAGGTGCCACCATCCTCGCAGTCATTGTCTAGACAGCAGTGGACCTGGTATACAAGGGTATGTATTCTCATTCGGATCCTTGTATCTCGGCGAGTCGCCCTCTTTCTTTCCCCAAACTCAGACCTCAGCTCCCTTCTCCAAGATCACTCCTCACCCTCAGACTGGTTTCCTAGTCTATCTGTTCTGAGTCAGGTAGTCCTTCCTTCCCACCTTGCTGTCCATCCAGTTCTGAGACTTGTTACTTCAACACATATCACTGGTGTGAGGGAGGCCGGTCCATGGTGACATCATCTGTTTGTAAACAGTTTTCACAAATCATCTCCCACCAGAAATCACAGAATCTCAGAGATGACCTTACGGCCCCTCCCATGCAGAGTGGGACTGCCCTTCACAGCCTCTCTGACAAGGGTCATTTGGCCTCAGCTTTGAACATCCTGGATGAATCAATGGAGCATGTCTGACCTCGCCTCTGAGCAAATGCCTTTGGCAGCTGGCAGCTGGGTGGATGCCCATGCCAGAGCCTGCCAGTCATTGGGTCATCGTTGGAGCAGTGGCTAAAAAGCCAAGTTGCAATTTCCTAAGAGCTTGAGAGTATCCACAGCGTCAAGCATCCCTCCAACTGAGGAGCCCTTCTTCTGCTTGGGGGTGATTTCCAAGGCAGTAGAACATGGCACTTTAAGTGTGAGAGCATAGACTTGGGAGTCAGACAGAATACAGTTCAAATGTCACCTCCTTTCTAACTATCTGGTGGCCTTGGATACTGACTAGCTGCGAGACCTCAACCAACTCACTCAAACTCTCCAGACCCATTTCCTCACGTAAAAAAGTACAAAATTTAGTCTATATTTTGAGATTATCATGAGGATTAAGTAATATAACATGTGTAAAGTGCTTTTCCTTGTACCTAAAACAAAGTGAATTAAATGGCAACTGGCCGGGCCTCTGTGACACACTCCTGTGCTGGAAACCACATAGCCAACCATGGTTTCAAATCCGTGGAGTAAACCTGAAACACACCAGCTTGCCCACCGTGGCCGAAGGGCTGGAGAGCTAGGGCAGGGGAGTCCATCATGGCAAGACCCTATAAGGGATCTCTCTCACACACGTGCCGTCTCTCTAGCACCCTCTTGCTCATGAACAGAATAAACTTCAAAAGAATAACAATAAGTGGCAGCTATTGTTACTACTATTATCACCATGATTATCTCTTTCTTTCTGAGCCCAGGAGACACCATGCTGAGGACACTGCTCTCCCACTTCGTCTTTTCTAGAATAGAGGGTAAAATCTATGCCCACTATGTTAGGTTTCAGATCTATTTAGGAGGACCCCATCACCATTGTCACCATAACCACCATCTCTGAATAAGCAGACCCTCGTGTTTCTAAATATGACATGTTGCATCCCACAGAGTTCCAGAAATCCAAGGATCCTGATGCCTCAGCCACACAGATGAAACCTGGAGCGAGCCATTCCCAGTATCCTGGAAGGCTCATCTTGAGAAAAGCTTCCTAACCAGAGCAGTCAGTAGCAAAAGCGCTGAATCAGACCACCAGTCTTCTCCATCATGCACTGGCTGAGAGACTTTGAGCAAGTTACACAACCTCAGTTTCTCTTCCATAAAATGGGTATATTACGGCACTCACCTTGGTGAATCATTATGAAAATTAAATGATGCTTGTCAGGTGAGGGCCTTGGAATACTTAGAGCACTCGGTCTGTGATCGCCGCTGTCATAATTAACTACCAGAAAGCCACGTTCTTGTTTAAGCGGGAATCACAGTGCTCTCTGCCCTTCCAAACACTCAGAGCCTTTCTACTAATGCCCAGCGAGAAGTGGTGGATGACCCCATCCCCACAGAACAAGATTAATAAATACACAAGTGAAAGAACAAATAAGAACGGGGGTGTCTCAGGAGGTAGAAGCTTTATTATGAGGTCTTCAAAGGTCAACCAAACCAGTAGGCATTTACAGAGTACCTGCTGCGCAGGCAGCAGGTTCCGTGCCCACCCCCAGTACCCACCCCGGACTCTCAAATTCCTGGAGAGGAAAATCACACAGGGGTCAGGGAGCTTTGTGAGGTTGAGAACAGGGTGGGTTTCTGAACATCAAAGTGCAATTAGCTTTAAAGGGGGGGGGGCAAACTCCGAGACCCCCACAGCGGAGCTGTTACTACTGGAGGGAGGAGACGTGAGGTCGGGGAGCAGGCGGCAAGGCGGGGCCGCTCCCCGGCTGAACAGGTAGCTCTAGAGCAACTCTTAGGGGACGCTGGCGATCTCAGCAGCCGCCTGAGCAGCAGCCAGAACCCAGGTTGTTGCCAGAGCACTGAGATCTCTGGCTACCGCCTCCGCAGCAGCAGCATCCGCGCCTGCGCTGACGGCGTCTCCTTGGAAAGCAGCAGCAGGCCGG